GTTACAAATGAGATTTGAACACGGATGATTCAGATTTACAAGGCTTAATTTCTATGTATGATTTCCAACATTTATTTAGTTTTCTGAAAGTTCATACTTTTTGAACCCAGTCATGGAATCTCTGCTAACAAAACGTTCGCTATCTTTCATATTATTATTCTTGTCTATTCTTATAGCTTCTTCCAATGCTACTTCAATATCATCGTTCCCAAGAAAACGAGACTACGAGAAAAACTACTACTATGCCATAATACTTGTAGACGAATTTATTACACCACACGACGTTGAAATTCTTCTCAACGTTCATTATGAAGAACAAATTGGAGCTCTCGAAAACCATTACCTATTTAGTTCACCAAAAAAGTCGACACGCCACCGCAAACTAACTTCTCGTTCACTGGATGTCGATGACGACTCCAACGACCGTGTCTTATTAGAATATGAGAAACTGAAAAAAAAACGACATTCTAGCCCTTCGGTTTTTGAAAAAAAAACGGTCGCAACTATAGATGGTATTATCTCTGTAGAAAAGCAAAAATTGAGGAAACGATTCAAGAGAGTTCCGCCGCCTAGTAACTTTGATAACCCTCTAGGGATCAAAGATCCAGGCTTCTCACTTCAATGGCACTTGGTAACTTTACATTGTATTTATTAGTGTTAATAAATATAAATATGCTCATACATTACTTGTTTTTTATTTCAGAAAAATACCCAGGAAAAAAATGATATCAACGTAACAGGCGTATGGAAAGAAGGTATATATCTCGAAACAATTTAATTCATCTTTTTTAATATTATTAGGGATTAATATTCTTTAGGGATAAAAATTTATACCACACTTTAATTTCGATCGACAATGTACTAATTCCACAGACGAAAATTATTGCTATGCATAAGGAATAACCGGCAAAGGCGTGGTAGCCGCAATAGTCGATGATGGATTGGATTTGTCTAGTGATGATTTGGCCGATAATTTTGTATGTATTTGACTTTACCCAGTTAAATACACCTAAAGTTATTTTACTTCTCACACTTTTATCCTTATGAAGTTTGCCGAAGGATCATATGATTTTAATGATCACAATCCATTACCGAGACCTCGACTATCGGATGACACACATGGGACGAGGTGTGCTGGTGAGATTGCTGCAGTAAAAAACGATGTATGTGGTGTTGGAGTAGCTCCAGATGCAAAAATTGCAGGTAAGAATGGCTCAATCCATTTATTTTTTCGGTAATTACCGATTGAACTTTTTTAAATTAACAGTTATAATACTTATATATTCAAGGAATTCGAATATTATCTGGTCGAATCTCAGATGCAGATGAAGCCACAGCGCTAAATTACGAGTTTCAGAAAAACCATATCTATTCTTGTAGTTGGGGTCCGCCAGACGACGGTCAATCCGCCGAAGCCCCCAAAGGTCTAATACTTAAAGCCATAATAAAAGGAATAAAAGAAGGTCGTGGAGGAAAAGGAAGCATATATGTGTTTGCTTCCGGTAACGGTGGTGCCGTTGACGACAATTGCAACTATGATGGATATACGAATAGTTTGTACACTGTCACCGTGGGTGCAATCGATCGTACCAATTCGCATCCTTACTATGC